CTGGAAGATGGCTGAGTACACAGGACCCCTTAGGAAGCTTCTCGAAGTCACAGCTCTCATTGTTTGCCAGGTGCTGTTCTAAGACCTCTAAATGTATTAACTTTGTAATCCTTACACTGATCCCACAAAGTAGCAAATGCTGTGATCACTTCCCCCTTTCTTCAATGGAGGTGTTGAAACACTTGCCCAAGATCACCAGTTAGGAGTAGAGCCAAGGTGTCTGGCTCCAGGGCCCATGCTCCTACCCACTAGCCACTGTATCCCAATATCCCACCACACTTCCAGTGAGATGGGTTCATTCATCTGGAGTTCACGTGGGTGCTTTGAAATCAGGGAGGAAAAGGCATCATTCCTCATTGCTGTCAGGGCCGCAAGGGCACTATCTTTTTTACTTCTTTATCTTAAATGTGCTTGGAGGTACTGATGAGCTCTAGAAAAATTTTCCCTTCTCTTAAAAAAAATTTTTTTTTTCTTAAAACAAAAATAGAGAAAGAAAGAAGGAAGAAGGCAGAAAAAAGAGAAGGAAGGAAAGGAGGGAGGGGGGTTAATTCAGCCAATGGGAAGCATTGGTGGGAGGAAGAGAAAACTCAGAATGTGGTTCTTCCTCCTCTCAGCCTCCAGCATCCTTGGCTGTGGCTGCATTGCCCTGGCACCAGCCGTACCTCTGGCAAGCTCTCTGTGGTTCCAGCTTCCTCCAGGTGCTCCCAGATCTCGGGCTCTGGTGAGGGCTCTCTATCCCTGTCCCTCTAGCACTGGGTGGGAGGGGTCAGGGCTAATCACTCTTGCCTCGCTGTCCCCCCTGTTGCAATTAATTTCTTGTTTTAAATTCCCCTTCTGGAAATACTTAGCCATGGTGTCTCTCTACCTGGATAGATCTTGTCTGAGCAGTCCTGTAATCTCTTAGAGTGCAGCAGCGTGGGTGTGTTTATTCCTTCCAAGAGCAGAAGATGGGCTCAGAAATAACCTTTCAATTTCTTTTCCAGGCCAGAATTTCACAAAAGCATAAGGTTTAGTCAGACCAAAACTATATTACAAACCCAGAGCAGCAAAGAGGAAAGTAGTTACACTAAGCTTAACCCCTTCCCACAGCCCCACGCCCCCTCAACACTCTGTAATTATGTGGGTTGTGTTGTAACTGGTTCATTTAGCTGCTAAATCAGAGACTCAGGAACTCATTTTTTCCGAGAGTTCTGCAAAAATGCAGAAAAGGTTTTGGTGAAGTCTTGCAACCATCTGGTGGTGTCATTCAAATTGCAAGGATTCTCTGCCATGACAACCCTACCATGGCCCCCAGGAGTCCCAGGACACAGAGCAGAGGTAGACTGGTCTCTGCTCTCTGAGAGCTGAGAGTCTAGCAGAAGGCTTGGGCTGAGGAGGAGGTCGGCCAGCGCCATAGAAAGGGAGCCCCGGATGCTCAGACGAAAGAGATGAACTCAGACTTCCCCTTTCCCTACTGAAGTCTGAGGGGAAAATCCAGGGAGGCTTTGACAAAGTGACAAGGGCTTGGCCTTCGAGGATGGGTAGGGAAAGCTGGGAGAAGGACATGGAGGGGGGCTCTGGATCTGAGCAGGAACGGCAAGCCGGGAGCCCAGTGGGCATAGCAGAAGGTTTAGGTTCATTTAGTGGAACCCCCTTGTTGGAATCAGACCCTCTGAGTGGTGATCAGACTCCTTGAAGCTGGATTAATGGGCTTGTTTTGTTCTATTTTATATTTGTTCTGCACACATGCTCTGTCTAGCTTCTCCGCTCTCTCTACAGGTATCCCAGCTGGCTGAGCTGATCCTCAGGAGATGACGAGGCACAACCGCAGCTTTCTCAGCTTCTCGCTGCCTCCTGCCTGCCATTCTCTCCCTCTTTGCCTTTTTTTCCAGTTGCCCTTTCTCAACCCCTTTGGGGGTTTTCTTTTCCATCCTTCTGGTGACCCTGCTGTTCGCTTGCTAGCTAAGTGATTTACACGTTCCAGGCTGGATCCAAGACAGTGTGGGATGAAAACCAAATGCAAATTGGCTAGAAGAAAGGGCCAGAATAAACGCAGACTGAAGACCCCAAACCAACGGTGTCCAAACTTGTAAATGCATCTGCGCTGTCCCCGTGGGGCCCTCCAACTCTGCTCAAAGCAGTCTCCAGGGCTGTCCTCCAAGGACAGTGGGGGAGTTGGAGGGAAGAACTCTTTGCACTTCCTTCTTTGCCTTTTAAATTCAAGGTGGATGTGACCTCAGGGCTTTGTACAGAAAACCTCTGAGGGTCAGAGGAGTGACCCACTTACCCTACTATTCCCCACCCTGCTGGGATCCTTCTGCTACTCCAACCCCATCACTGCAGAGTCTCAGTTCCTGCACTCTGGGGTTCGGATGTGCATCTGCTGAAGAATCTTCCAGAACTGCAACTCCCATCTGCACTGGGAGCATGTCTGGCCCACACCAGCTTAGGCACTGTGGGAAGGGCGGTGGTTATGCAGTGTGAATCCATGTAAGATTTTTTCCTGGGAAAGGACTCTTGCAACCATAGCTTGGGGAATTGTCTTTACAATGACCGCTTCCTCTTAGGGAGTCAGCAGCCTGGGCTCAAATCCTGCTTGGTCACTAAGATAGTTTTGTGACCCTAGACAATTCACAGCACCTCTCTCAGCCAACATTTCTCCATCCATTCAACAAATATTCACATAGCAGCTACTGGTACCAGGAATAGAGAGGGGAGCATGATTGGTAAGTCATCTTAAAATTTACAATTGCATTATGGGAGTTACTCAGTAAATGAGTTTTCAAAAGTCAGGGGGTTGGGGGAGACCTTTGAAGAACAATTTGGCATGATCTAGAAAAGTTGAAATCTGACTGCTCTTTGACCCAGTAAGTCTACTCTTAGGTATATACCCTAGAGAAATTCTTAAACATTCCCAGAGGACAAAGAATGAACATCAAAGAATTTAAATGACAACTCATAAGAAAATGAAAAATGTGTGATATGTTCCTACAATGGTGTAGAGCAGTGAAAATCAATGACCTAGGGCTGCAGATATCAACGTGGACTATCTCACAAGCATAACTTAAGAAGGTTGCAGAAAAATATGTAAAGTGTAACGCCATCTATGTAGAGTTAAAATGGACAACATAATACTAGATACTATTTAGTGGTGAGAGTATTTTTAACATGGCTGGGCATTAAAAAGACCAAATTAGATTAGTGCTTTCTTCTGTGGAGGGAGGAAAGAGGTTGGAATTGGGGAGTAATACATAGGGGGTATCACCTGTATTGATAATATTTTGTATCTTAACCTAAGTTGTGTTTACATAGCTTTTATCGTAATATTCTTAGTATTTTGCATATATATTTTAATTGTTACCCTATAAAAATTTTAAAATTTATTAAATAGTGATAAGCGCCCTGAAGAAAATAAACATCTGAAGTGATTGAGAGTGATTGAGGTTTGGTGGGGGGTACTGGAGACTGGGCGGTCAAGGAAAGCTTCTCAGCAGAGATACTGGGTGGAGCTGAATCATGACTGACATGAAGGGAGCAGCCACGACAGTATCTAGAGGAGGAGCACTGCAGGTGGAGAGAACATCTAACGCAAGGGTCATGAACCATAAAGGGCCTAAGATTTTACCCTCCTTGCAAGATAGCAAGATAGCCTGACTTAGTCGTGTGGATGCTGACAGAAGACATGAGACTCCTGGGTCAGAGCAAGAGATTTTACTATTCACAGCAGGAGGCAGCATGATCTTTCTGTTCACATTGCTTCTCCTTGCTCCCCTTCCATGGTCACTGTTCAGAGATAAAGTCAGTATAACTTCCTCATAGATTTGGATGTGGAGAACGACAGAATCACAGAAATTTTAGATGATCATATGATTTGGCTGTGTCCTCACCCAAATCTCATCTTGAATTGTAGTTCCTAGAATCCCTACATGTCATCGGAGGGAACTCATGAGAGATAATTGAATCATAGGGTTGTTTCCTCCATGCTATTCTCATCAGAGTGAGTGAGTTCTCCTGAGATCTGAGGGCTTTATAAGGGGTTTCCCATTCACTCAGCTCTCATTTTTTTGCTTCCTGTGGCCATGTTTGCTTTTCTTTCTGCCATGCTTGTAAGTTTCCTGAGGACTCCTCAGCCATGCTGAACTGTGAATCAATTAAACGTCTTTTTAAATAAATTATCCAGTCTCAGTTATGTCTTTATTAGCAGTGTGAGAATGGACTAATATAGATGATTTCTAGATTTGGGGCTCCACCCCAAAAAGTAAGAATTGAAGGGCCAAGTAAGGGATGGGAAGGATTCAAAAGTAGTACTTCAAGGATGAAAAGGCTTCCGTGCCTGCTGACATCTAAGTGGAGGGGCAGAGAAAGCGGCTGGCAGTAAGAGTTTGGAGTTTCATGGCAAGGTCAAGGCTGGAGGTCTAGACCAGGGAGGCCCTGGCAGATGGAAGGTACTAACAGCCCTAGGACTGCTGAGTTCACTTGAGAACACTTACCACATTTACCATACTCACCTGGTCAGCAGAACCACCTGGAACACATGTTAACAACACAGATTCTTATGTCCCTTTCAGATCTTGCATTCTAAAATTTTAGGACTAGATATATATTTCTGTACACGTTCAATATGTACCGAATATTTATTGAGCACCTATGATGTTTCAGGCACTGTACTTATTGTGATTGGTGAAGCTATGACAGCATCCTGTGGCCATGAAGAAAGGCCAAGAGAACCACTGAGACTTTGGCACTAACTTCATTGAACCAACAGACCAGCATCTAATATCTATTTTCAGACTTCTCACTAGGAGGGAAAAATCATCCCCTATTTGTTTAGGTTATAATGAGGTTTTGTGTTTGTTTATTACTTTCTGTCAAAAGCATTCTGACCTGAAACATACATTCTATTGTTCTGCTTACAAATCTAGTAAACAAATAAAATAAGACAAATCTCTTTGGGGAAGGGGGACTTTAATTAACGTTTGATTAACTTAAGCTAAATAAACCGAACTCCCTTAAATCATCAGTCTCAGTTACAGGCTTTGTTTATTAAAATCTCTTAAACATTCTAAACATGCTTGTATAATTTATCACATTTGATTTTCTATTTTAGCACTTCAAATCATTGATATGGCAAGATTATACCAGATTAAGACAAAACATTCTCCTATATTTGAGCATCCCTTGTAAATCTAATACATTTAACTTATAAACACAGTAAATCTAGTCTAATACCACTAATGAGCTAAGTTAAATATTCTTATACCTTTCAACTTCAAATGACAAACTTAAAATAAATTTCACATTTCAGATTGGAATCATGTAATCTTTTTAAAGATTCAAATCACTTAAGGAAAATACACAAAATTATTCCTAAACTTAACATGAAAGTATCAATATTATGGATTTGAATTATTGCATCATTTTTGTAATTAATTCTACACATTCCCAGACTTAAGTTATTTATCCAACAAGGGAACTGATTTACTATTTACTATTGTCAAGGATTCATGCCCACAATATGGTGGACGTCTCAGATGAGCAGAGGTTGCTTAGGAGCTCAGATCAGAAGACAATACTCAATCGCTGGAAGATAGTGCCCTGAATGCTGGCATTACTATGGCAACAGGAGGCTCCCAGTCTTCACCCTTCAGAGGGGTTTGATTTTAGAACCTTTATTCCAATTCCCTCTTAATTGCTATTTTTATTTTTAATTATTAGAGCAGAAGGACGTTGGAGACTCCACCTAGGTTAGCTAACAACTTCCTTTATGATCTCATTGGCTTCTGCATTTACTTGGCACTCTGCAAGCATTGCTAACATATTTCCATCTCACTCTAAAGACATTTATGTGCTGTTGAATTTAATCCTGAACATTTGGCTCTGAGCCATGACTCTCAGGTCATGATAATAACATAAACCATTCCTCTGTCTCGTGACTTTTTAGGAATTTCCCAAATAAGATTATAGCCTCTCACGTTTCATTAGAACTACTGTATTTAGCTTGGCAGGATCTCAGCTTCAGGGGCTGTTCTCCCTTGTGCCTGCCCCTGGATGTCCTGGACGTCATTAGCTGAGGCCACCCAGATAGGGAGCGGACCTGGCATCAGCCTTAGATGCATCGGCCCATTGCCTCCACTTCCTTACCTTTCCCACCTCCAGTTCTCTGCTATTCACCATTTCTAAAAGGTAGAAAAACGCAGCCTTTTTTGAGTCTCCAGCCTTTTTTGTGATGTGGGTGGGGGCAGGAGAGGGGAGTCACAGTAGCAGCAGAGCTGGAGCAACTTTTCTTCTGGACCTCTCATTACTTGTATCTATGAGTTAATTGAAAGCATCGTGTTACTATTGTTTCCGTTTCACACATATTATAAGAGAGCACTCTGCTGATGCCTAGCAAAATAACAATTATATTTCTCATGCCTCTCAGGCGCAATATCCACTGATAACTATGTGCTTTTCTTCCAGTTATGGATAGTCCTAAAAGATCCTTACAAAATGTCTTTTAAAATATCACATCAGTTTGAATACTCTTTGAGAACTCCAATATTTAGAAAAACTAGCCTGGAGGTGGTGGCATGCACTTGTAGTGCCAGCTGCCTGGGAGGCTGAGGCAAGAGGATCACTTGAGTCCAGAAGTTGGAGGCTGCAGTAAGCCACAGTCACACCAATGCATTCTAGCCTGGGTGACAGAGCAAGAATAAAGTAAATAGAGAAACCAATTGGTGGATCATCTTTGCAAGGTGAATCATCCCCAGTCTGTAAATTTGTCTTAAAATGGGGTGCACTTTGTTGGGGTTTGAGCATGAGCAATAACTATTTACCACCAATTTAATGCATCAGAGAAGTCACCCTTCCTTTCACAGGGAGAAGCAAATAAGAAGAAATGCTGGACTCTCCTGTACTTCTGGATGGAAGTTTCCGTTTTGTGGACAGAGGCAGGAATGTCTAGGAAGAAGTCAATCTTAGTTCTGCTTTATGTATATTTGTATTGATTTTCTTTGACCCAAAGCGATGCTGAGCTGTGTCAGACAAATATCAACCAATCTTAGTATTCCAGAAGAAAATATTTATGCCTTTCACTGTCCTATTCTGATTTCACCATTTTCTTCAATTTTCCTTCTCCCCTCCTTTTCTTTGTTGTTATATCCAGTTTTATTTTCCAAATTCAGTTATGTATTTTGGAGAAGAGACATCCAGCACCTGTGCACATCTGGGCCCCCTTCCTTGCAGGTGCAGGGGGATGATAGCATTGATGACATTGCTCCACCTCCTGTGAGGTCACATGACTAGTTCTAGCCAATGGTCTGTGAGAGTGAGGCGGTCACTCCTGGGCCAAGGTAGGATGGAATTGTTGGGGTGAGCTCTTCCAGTGTTTTCTCTAGCCATGCCCTTGGAGGGTGCATCCCACAGGATTACTGGGTTACCCCATGCAAGCAATTGTCTTGGAGGGTTTCCAGGCTCGCAGGGGACTTTGCCTGCCCAAGAAATGAACTTCTATCATGTCAAGTCATAAAAGCATTGCATTTGGTGATTGCCAGTGCCCTGTGGTTCTCAAAATGTGGTACCCAATCACCAGTATCAGCAACACTTGGGCATATTTTAGAAATGGAGCATTTGGGCACCACCCAGCCCTACTGAATCACACACCCTGAGGGTGTGGCCCAGCAATCTGTGCTTTAACAGACTCCCAGATAGTAATGCCGGCAAGTATGAGGACCATGGCTCTACCCTGTGCTGGCTAACACAGCTTTCAATTCAGTATTCCCTATTGACAAAGTAGAGTCTTTAGGTGAGTCCTATCAGTAAGACAAACCATTTTTAAGTTTCTTACTTAAGCATTCTTCCTCACAATTATGCAATCATTCCGTTATTTTTTCTGTTTTAAGGCCTCAAAACAGCAAGAGGATCTATAAGCCTCCCAGACCACTATTTCTAACTTTGAACACAGTTGTCACATGACTACATTTAATGAACACATAAAAGAAGGTTAATAAGAGCTTGGGGCTGCAGAGAGAAGGAAGAAAATTGTCTTTACTTTTCAGACACCACTGACGGCTGGGGGACTGTGCTGATTTGCCCTGATCATGATGCTGCAGCAGAAATTAGTGTGGGGTGTGCTTGGGGCAGAAGAAGTGGCTGGTGTTTCTGGTCGCAGAAGACCCTCCATTCCATGGGGCAGGCAGGCTGAAATGGATTTTACGTTCCTTCCAAGGGCTTTCTTCCTCTTCTTGATTACCCAGTCAGTTCTCCGCAAGCAATATGAGCCTCTCGCCTTATTTCTCCTCTGTTTCTCATTTTCAAGCTTCTAACTATCCAACTGGGTGACATTCCAAGGCAATCCAATGAAATAAGCATAATATCTGCTGTCTTCAGTAAATCGCTTAGCCTAACGATGTACTTAGAGGGCATTTTTAGGCAAATTATTTATATGACTCAAAGAAATGCTTATTTACGTGTATTTCCATTCAGATTTGACTGTGTTCAAACATAAACTTTAGATAAGAGTATAATGAGAACTGTATATGCTCCACCTAATATTTTACCATGTCAGTTCTCTCTCACGCTCTCTGAACACACACATACGCACGCACCTTCTTTTTTCCTGAAGTTGTCAATATGATGCTTCATCTCTCAGTACGTCAGCATGCACCACTCACATCACTACAATATCACCCACCACCAGATCCACATTCAACATTCCCACTTGTCGTTTATGCCCATGAGATTTTTTCCTAAGCCAAAATCCAGTCAAGGCTTACACTTTGCCTTTGGTTGTTGGGTCTCTGGTTATCTGGAACAGGCTCAGACTTTAGCAGGCATGCAGGTCACCTGGGGATCTTATTAAAATGCAGATTTTGATTCTGGATGTCTGAGTGAGGGCTGAGGGTCTTTGATTCTAATAAGTGCCCAGGTGATGCCAATGATGCTATGGGCCTAGGACCACCCTTCGAGTAGCAAGGACAGGACAGTCCCCCTCTTATTCTTTCCCCAATGACACTTACTTCTTAAAGAATCCAGGCCTATTTCTTGTAGAATGATGCACATTTTAGTGATTCTACCATGCCATTAACTTCCTTATCCTCTGTATTTACTGTAAACTGAAAGTTAGGTGTAAGACTTGATTAGTTTCCATTGACATCTTTGGAAGGAATATTTCATAACGCATCCAACAGGGGCACCTAATGTCAGTTATCCTACCATTAATGGTGTGTTAGAACTTTATCACTTGGTTAAGGTAATGCCCAGGTCTTTCCTCTGTAGTTTTTTAAATAAAGATTTTTAAAGTGCCTGCAAAGAGTGAGAACCACAGGGCAGTGGCAATCAACAACTCCAGTGCTTCGGAACTAAATAACCTGTCTGCATATCAGATGGATAGCATCAATTACATGGAGAAAAAATTATTTCAGGTTGGTCTCTGATGGGGTAAGGCTGACTTTCTGCAGTTCAGCTCCATCTGGCCCTGCAGCTGCCCCTGATCCACAGACAGGCTTCTCTAAAGAGGAGGGAGTCCCGCACCCACCCTTGTTACCTTTGCTCTCCTGAATCCCAAGCAGAGCTGCCTTGCAATGACAATGGTGTCTACCACAGTAAAGGCACCCACCATTTATGAATGTTAACCGTGTACCAAGCAGCATGCCAAACTCTAAAAAGTAAGTGCCATGGATGGAATGTTTGTGTGCCCACAATTCATACGTTGAAACTCTAACCCCCAATGTGACGGTATTAGGAGAGGAGCCTTTGGGAGATGATAAGTTCATGAGGGTGGGGCCTCATGATGGGATTAGTACCCTTATAAAAGGAATGCCTCTTTCCACTACATGAGGACACAATGAGAAGTCAGCAGTCTGCAACCCGGGTCAGGGTCGTCACCAGCCCCTGACCATGTGGGCACCCTGACCTTGGACTTCCAGCCTCCAGAACTGTGAGAAAGAAATTTCTGTTGTTTGTAAGCCACGTTATCTATGGAAATTTTTTATAGAGAGGGTTTTCTCAAGAAAAATGAGGACAATGAGAAGAAACAAGAAGA